ATAGATAGAACAAAAAACTCTACAAGCAGATCTGTAGTTTGTTTCAGATATTAATTATTATGGTGGTTGCTGTTGTCATTGTACTACTTTGAGGTTCTCAGGAAAGCAGTATAGAAATTCAAAGCACAGAGAGCACTTCACAGAACAGAGGATTTTGCTTTATTGTGCGGTGAAAGCCTTCATAACTGCCCAGTTATCCCAGTGCAGCCTCCCGGAAGTCAGGAGGGTGTAACTGAGCAGAGAATGTGGCCTGTAGCAGAGCCAGGAAAAGAGAGGGAGGAGAACGATGAAAAGCTTGATCATCTAGATGCTTTATTTTACCAAATTCCACAAGATTCCAGGACTAAATGGTTTGGGAGGAAATTCCTCCCTTTACAGAGAGACACCACAAGAACGATACACCACTTGAACCTCACTAAAATCCTATCCTGTGAACAGAGAAGCAGCGCTGTCCAGTAGCTAGGGACACTGACCTGGGAGTCTAGAAACTTGGATTCTCTTCTTGGTTCTGCCACCGATCTACTGTGAGACTTTGGGCAAATCATTTCCCTTTGCTGTGCTTGTTTCCCCCTCCCACCCTTGTCTGTGTAGTTCTTTAGGGGCAAGGACTGTCTCTTGCCATGTGTTTCTTCCCCTCCTAGCACAAGGAAGCCCTGATCTCAGTTGGTGCTACTATAATCCAATTAGTGACCATGCTGGCCCTCCATTCAGGAAGATGAATTTTATTTGCCCAGCTCTGACCCTTCTGTATGTTTTGCAGGGGAGAGAGGTCATGTTGATTGAACTCCAGAATGGCTTGTTCAAACTTTTGAACACTGCGGCCCAAATAAATGCTCCGTATTAGCGGCTGGGCTGAGCCCTTTTCTGCCAAGCCTGCAGCCTTCAGTGAATGTTTATGGCTACGTTATAAACCCCAGAAAACAGGAGCAGGCAGTGGAAGTGCTGACTCAGCCATCGCTAAATGCCAATGATCTACAAAAGCATTAAAAGGGGGGAGGATGAAAAATAGAGTCATTTTCACTGTCCCACGAGCCCCTGGTGAAGGACACGCTGCACGCAGCGTCACCATTAATATTTATGGGCACGACACCGACCCACAAACCTTGGCAATCAGAGCAGCTCCACTTTGGGAATTAATATAGCTCTGCTTGGCCAGGGTCTTGGTACAGACGAGCAGGCAGGGGATGCTGGGATGTGCAGGGAGATCTTAAAAAATTAGGGACTGACCTTTGGAGGGCAGGAACTATGCCAACCAGCTCCTCAAATCCTGTGACCAGAGCTGCTTTCTCTATTACCCTGGCACACCCAGAAACACTAGCCAGACCCCAGCACTGCATTTTCTGCGACCCGATGTGCCACAGTTCCTAAGCGGATCCAGCAGCATGTTCTCTACTACCTGATGCACCCAGGCCCCCCTGTATTCTCAGCTTGTTGGTTTGAGTAATACAGTGATCTCTCAAGAACAACGTGCAAACAAGCACCCCAGTAAAACCAGTCCCTGTTCGTCCACAAATCTCGGCCAAGCACTGAGTCATGAAGGCCACAACCTGCCGGATACTGAATGAGAGCCAAGCCCCACGCCCAGGACAATAATTACTGTTTATCCACAGGTGTGAACATCACCCACAAATACTTAGCTCAGAGTGACCCATGCACCCCTTCTGAAACATACACCCCAAATACCTGGCCATTTACCATTTGTGCCAAGTTGAATCTTGTTTGTGGAGGGCATTGGCAGCACCCAATAATCCTTCATGCTTGCTAGGAGCTCATGCTTAGGCGCCAGGAGCTACAGAGAGGGGCTAGCAGATGAACAATTCCTGATGCCCCCAGGAATGTGGGTATGTAGCAGGTGGAGTAAATAGATACTGATGACCCCCACACGGTGCTTGCTTAGAAGCTGATCTCCAGGAGCTGGCAAATGTTGATAAAATTCAAGGGAAATCATATTATAACCCCCCCTTTTTAACAAAACTTTTAAAAATTTGAGCCATAATGTGCCTA